GCAGCAGTTGATGTTGTTGATCAGTAGTCATTGATATTTCTCTTCATTTTTGCTATCTTTTGAAGTAATATGTGGCTTCGGCCGCCCGGGGAGTGTTGCTGATCGGACACTCAATCTTGCTATCTTACTTCCTCTCGTTCTTTCATAAGTAGCTGACATAGCTATATACAGTTGGTCCTACCATCTGCGTAGTATACACCCTCGTCAGCAGCCGATCGTATCTTGCGTTCTACGAGTACGTTGTCTCTCATCCCTGATCTGCAACATCGACCATCAATACCGCCACTACGTTCGACACACGTAACGTGTGACACATTCCACGTGAATAGCCTTTGATGAGTGGGGTGGTTAAGGGTGACCGACTTAGTGTGAGTACCTGCATCAATTTATCCAGTGCAGCTGACTCAGCGTAAACCTGGCCTAGAGCCTTCACGGCCGGTCTGGATAGTGGACCCACGACAGCGGATAGCAATTCCAGAAAACATATGTGACCTGGTTCCGGTCGCGTGAAGTTGTACGTCACCGAAACGTTTTCTCTCTTATAATTGGTGAAAGTGAGTCTGGCTCCCATAGGGATAGTCCACATGCCAAATAGTCTTCGACAGGCTCCTGTACTGACACCCACTCATCGCTCACAGTTCATTGTACCACTGAGTGTCAAACAACCCTATCTACCATGATCTAAAAGATCATCCAGTGTATTACACGCTATTGCGAGTGTCACGTTGATGGCTGCGTTCCCGTAGAGCCTGGCCATGCGCGTCACGGCGAGCTAAATCGTTACGCTCATTTCATAGCTGACCGAAAACCTCCGAATATCGTAGGTTTCTTGCCTGCCTCTTGTATAAGCGCCGAGATGACTGGAATTACTTATTCGGGTATCACAGTAATTTTATGACTCCGTTCACCATCTCGATCTTGAACCTCCTCCTCGTCACCCTATTGCTGCAGGGTGGGGCATATACCTTCCACATGGGTAACGTTCGTATGCAGATGAAAACGACACATTTTTGCAACTCTGACTTGAGGGACATCAAGGGGAACCCGATGGCATGTCACATCTCCAAGGCTATGGAGACTGAAGGGCTGGTCCTTCCTGGTATGGATGATAACAAGTCGTTCACCGTTCATCGAGACATCTTCATCGCCAAGGACGGTCAAGCGGTAGTTCAAGCAGCACCAAGTCACCCGTACTTGTATCTCCTCATGAGCCAGAACGACACGCACTTCAGCACCTCCCAATTCTTCAATAAACGCTCGTTCCTTATAGAGCAGGGAACCAGGAAAAAGACTGATACACCCAATTCTCGCAAGCTCAGTGCCAATCGTACGCTCGAAGATGATGGTTGGGTCTATAAAGGTTTGGTAGATGAAGGTGGACAGAAGCTGAACAAATGGGTCAGAAGTGGAGTAGAAGGTGTTGATCCCAAATCGGGTATCAATTTCACTGCCCTCGCTCAGACTGGTGTGATCACTAACGCTTGGGTCCTCTATCTTGACAAGGATCAGAAACAGATGGTGAAGCTCTTGGGTATCAACACCTTTGAGAATGATACGGTCTATCTCCAGTCCGAGGTCACTCATTGGGAAGAGCTGGACGAGACATTAACTTTGGATGTTGCCATAAACGATATTCACGCGGCGTATGATATCGTCCAGAACTACAATCTGGCAGCAGCGAAAGAGGAGGCGCCACAACTAGACTCTCAGTTCATCAAGACCCGTTTGGTTAGCGAAGAGGTTCGTCTATTCTTTCACGGTGGGAAGGACCACGATTGGAGGTCGAACAAGACTCTTCTCCGTGGAAATGGGTCGGTAGCACCGATCGATTATTTTCGCCTCCCCAATGGCACAGCTGCACATGCGTTCTTTCTGCACAAGTATCAACCTCTTCTACTTCTACAGGAGGATGATAAAAAGGAGTTCGAATTACCACCGGCTTGCAAGAAGGGTTACACCACGTCGGTCAGTGCATACTGCCTGTATGTTGGTTACGCCTCTAACGACACGCTACTGGCCCTCGACCTATATATGTCTTATACCGACCAAGCTATTGAAGAAAATAATGCTTACCTCAAGGTCACAGTCCATTTGAAGCAGCCGGGGACGGAGGTCGTATTCT